GCAAGGTTTTATTAAATTTCAAGAGTTAATTAATTAAAAAATTCTGAAAGGACTAAATGAATAGATTACCTGTTATATATTTTGGGTACTGAATTGACATAATGATTCTAGACGTACGAACACCTAACACATTAGCTGTCATCAAGGTTCACTGAATTGACATAATGGTTCTAAACGTTACTAACACCTAACCCATTAACTGTCATCAATGAAATAACACAAGGTGGTTTCTTAAAAGGTGTGCACCCGACAGGTAAACAGCAACCCAAAGTCTCACTGAATTGACATAATGGTCCTGAACGTACTAAGACCTAACATATTTGCTGTCGTTAATGAAATGACACATGGGTTCTCCAAAAGATGTGCATCCCGACAGGTAAGGGTGTTTGTTAGGTGATTTTATTCGAATTTTAATATTTTTTAATTTAATTTAATTGATTAGTAAAATTTTTAAATCAATTTAATTTATTATTATATGATAATTAAATTAAACTAATTTAAATCGGATCGGTGTGATTTGATCAGATTGATCAGTTTTTAATATTATTAAATATATATGTAAATAAATTTAACATTAAGTAAAAAACATAAATATAAAATACGTTAATATCCAAATAAATAGAAACATAATTAAAAAAAAGTACAAATTATAAACAAATTCTTACTCTTTTATAATTGTAAAAATTAAAAAAATTTAAAAATTATAAACAAATTCTTAAATCTTTATCTTGATCTCCAAAAATATCCAAAAGAGGGCTGCCACCAGCCTCCCAAGCTCTTTTAATTCTGAATTTGGATGGATATTTATAAGATTTTGGAAACCTTAATTGAAATAGAAGTAGGATTTGAAATAGAATAAGAAACTTGAATGTTCGACGCTGAACATATAATGTTGACACTCTAAATTAGGTATCGACACAAAACAAGAAACAGAAAGTTTGATTCTGGACTATTAACCCATGATGTCGACACCCATATTATGTGCTTAAGAATAAACCGAGCAAAATGAAGACAATAACCTAAACAACAACCCAGCAAAATGAAGAGGACAACCTT